TATGATTAGGATCACAGGCTCAGAAATCTCAGCACCTAGTCTGAATCCAATTCTGCAACCTTGGGCAGGTCCCTCAACCTTTCTGTGCCACAGTTTTCCACCTGCAAAATGAAGATATCAGAAAGATCAATAATACCTACTACCCTCCAGGACCTCTGAAGATAAATGAGTAAATGCAACAAAGGGCTTAAATTAGGGCCTGATGTCTGAAGCACTTTAAGAAGAATTTATCAATAGTTTGCATACAGCCAATTCAGTAGCAGGTTTATGACTTGAAGTAAAGAACAACCATGGCATTGAAATGTCATCTCTCCAGAAACCTTGCATTAAGGTTTTGTAAGGTGGGAGTGTTGGCTGACAACACACCTGCCTCTGGCAAGGCATGTGTCCAGGGTAAGGCACTTCTTGGCACTGCTGGATTCAGGTGACAGTCAGCTCAGGGGCCTTTCCCAGGCACTCTCTCCTAATACAATACATAGAAACAAACCCAGGGAGGAGCCAAAATTAAGAGACAAAGTAACATCCTAAATGAAAGAACAGAACAAAACACCAGGAAAAGAACTAACAAAATGGAAATGAACAATGAACAAGGTGCAGAATTCAAAACAGTGGTTATAAGTATACTCAATGAACTTAGAGGAAGAATAGATGAATTTAGTGTGGACTTCAACAAAGAGATAGGAAACATAAAAATGAAGATATTCAACATGAAAAAACAGTCAGAAATGAAGAATACATTATAGGGAATCAACAGATTAGGTAAAGTTGAGAATGAAATTAAAAGATAGGATAGCAGAGAAAAACTCAATCAGATCAACAACAACAAAAAATAATAATTTTTTTAAAAATGAAGATAGCTTAAGGCACCTCTGGGACAACATCAAGCACACTAATATTTGCATCACAGGAGAAGAGAGAGCAAAGAGTTGAAAACCTACTTGAAGAAATAATGATGAAAAACTTTTCTAACCAAATGCAGGAAATAGGCATACAATCCCAGGAAGTGCAGAGAGTCCCAAACAATGAGGCCCACACCAAGATGCATAATAATTAAAATGCAAACATTTAAAGGCAAAGAGAGAATCTTAAAAGCAGTAAAAGAGACAGTTACCTAAAAGGGTGCTCCCATAAAACTGTCAGGTGAGCCGAGACTGGTTTGGCTCAATGGATAGAGCATCGGCTTGGGGACTGAAGGGACCCGGGTTCCATTCCGGTCAAGGGCATGTACCTTAGTTGCGGGCATATCCCCAGTAGGGGGTGTGCAAGAGGCAGCTGATCGATGACTCTCTCTCATCGATGTTTCTAACTCTCTATCTCTCTCACTTCCTCTCTGTACAAAATCAATAAAATATATTTTAAAAAAATTAAAAAACAAAACAAAACAAAACAAAAAAACTGTCAGGTGATTTCTTAACAGAAACTTTTCAGGCCAGAAAGGATTGGCATGAAATATTCAGGGATGAAAAGCAAGGATCTACCATCAAGATTACTCTACCCAGCAAAGGTATCATTTAGAATTGAAGGACAAATAAAGAGCTTCCCAGACAGAACAAACTAAAATAGTTCATTACCATCAAACTTGTATTACAAAAAATGTTAAAGGAATTTCTTTAAGAAGTAGCAGAAAAAAGATAGAAAATAGGAGCAATAAAATTACAATAACTATATATCTATTAACAATTACTATAAATGTAAATGGACTAAATACTCTGATAAAAAGACCTAGAGTGACTGAATGTATAAGAAAACAATACCTTTATTTACGATGCCCACAAGAGACTCACTTCAGACTAAAGGTAAAGGGATGGAAACAGGTATTTTATGAAAATTGAAATGAAAAACAAAACCTGGGTAGCAATATTATGCCACTCAAAATAGACTTTAAAACAAGGGCTAAATAACAAATGACAAAGGAAGGACCCAGCAACTTTACTTCTGTGTATTTATCTAAAGAAAACAACAAAACTAACGAATCCATGTGTTCACTGCAGCGTTATATACAATAGCCAATACATGGAAGCAACCCAAGTGCCCATCAATAGATGAAGGGATAAAGAAGAAGTGGAACATATAGGCAACAGGATGTTACTCAGCCATAAAAAAAGGAATGAAATCTTGCCATTGAATGGATAGACCTAGAACATATTGTGCTGAGTGAAGTAAGTTAGACAGAGAAAGACAAGTACCATATGATTTCACTTATATGTGGAATCTTAGAAACAAAATAAACAAACAAATTAAGCAGAAACAAATGCAGAGATACAGAGAACATTTTGCTAATTGCCAGATGGGAAGTGTGTGGAAGGATGGGTGTAAAAGGGGAAGGGATTTAGAAGTACAGATTGGTAGTTACAGAATAGTCACAGGGATGTAAAGTACAGCAGAGGGAATCCTGTCTAATAAAGAGGCAATATGCAAACTGACCATAACTCCAATACACAAGATGGCTGCCTCCATGTGGTCAAAGATGGCCACCCCAAGGTGGACACAAGATGGTCGCCACAAGATGGCCAGCAGGAGAGGGCAGTTGGGAGGGACTAGGCCTGCAAGGGAGAGCATTTAGGGGTGACCAGGCTGGACTGAGGGATACCGCATTACCCTTCCCAGTGCATGAATTTTGTGCACTGGGCCTCTAGTATAATCAATAATATTATAATAACTATGTATGGCATCAGGTGGGTACTAGACTTACTCATGCAATCAATTCATAAGTTACATAAATGTCTAATCACTGTATTGGAAACCTGAAACTAATATAATATTGTGTGCCAACTTTAGTTGAAAAATAAATAATTATTTTAAAAAATAAAAATGAATAAAGACTTCTCAGCCTGTCGCTCTCCTGGGCATCTGCCCTAGCAAAGCTGCCTTCTTGTTAACATGATTGAGTTCCTGACTGTCATTCTTTGGGCGGGGGAGTCGTGCCAGCCTGCTGTTTGCGAAGGTGGGGAGGGGACACTGAGCTGTAGAGTGCGTCCCACAGCGGCTTGTGGTGCCGACATGTGGTGGGAAGCTGGCCGGCAGGCTCGTCCCCTCCACTTGGACTTGCTTTTTCTTTTTTCTCGTTCTCTCTGAGGGGTGTAGTCACAGCAGACTTTGCAAAGGGCCCTCTGCAAAGTGCACCTCCCTCCCCCTGAGTCCATCTCAGGTCAGTTCCACTCTGTCCCGTCTCTGCCAGCTTTCCTCTAGGTCAGGCCAGAGAAAGACCCACTCTGGACACGGAATTTAAAACTACTTTGAAGTGGCCTCAATTCTGTTTGGACACATCTGCACAAAATTGTGTCCCTCCCCTCTCCCCATGCAGTGGTGGGGCAGCCAGGGCAGGTGTAGGCAGCCTGTCTGCTGACTTTGACATGGGTTGCCCAGCCTTCTCCTCAGCAGTGAGCTGGCAGAGTTTGGGGCCCGAAGTGTTTGCCAGCTCTTGTCCTCGCCTCTGCTGGAGATGTCCTGTGAACTGTTCCTGGTGAGTTGCAAATCTCCAGCCTTGTCGGTTGTAACCGTGACTCTGGTGCAGAGAGATACGTGATTCAGGGAGTCAGACATTCTCTCCCTCGTGTCCTCAGATGCCCCAGTTAGTGGGGAGTCTGAGGCACACGTGACCTACTCCTCCAAGCTGTGCCAGCCGCCCCAGGTGGCTGCTGAATTATAGATGGGCCGGCTCTCAGCAGCGCTGCTTTCCAAGGGCACAAAGCTCTGTCACAGGAGGGGTGCTCAGGCCCCCGTGGGACCTGGGAGCTGCGGGGGGCAGCGGGCCCTCTATTCATGGCTCGGGCTGAGCCCACAACAAGTGGGGAGCAGATACAGTCTGACCTTCTATTTGAATATTCTTTCTTTGAAAAAAAAAAAAAAGATTTGCTAAAAGTTTAAATAGCAAACTGTTAGGTTTTGAAACAAAGAAAGGCAAGAAGAAACCCAGAAAAGTCAGGAGTGCCAAATTTAACTCTGGTCAGATAAGAATCTGCCTTTCACTCCACCTGCACAGCTAACTGTCAGCTCCGTGATTCGGCATCTTTCTCTTGCTCCAGTATTCTCTCCATTCTTACTTTATTCCAGTTATGCTTTCTCATCTTTCTCCAACTAAAAACCAAACAAAGCAAACCAAAAAACAAAAACAAACAAAGAAAACCCCACAATACCTTTCTTTGTTAGAGCGACTGAAAGACCACCTCACACAGACTGGACCCACAAGATGAACATGTAAACTAACTGTGCCATAAGTTGGTTTCCATGTTTAGGGATAATTTCTGGTGCCTGTCAAACAGGCCAATTCCAGTGCCAGCTCTGGATGGTGGCAGGCGGTGAGGAGACGATTTGAAAACAACTGGCACCCCTCACTACGGTGGAAGGAAGGAGGGAGAGACACATGGTGCATTGGTTTTGTTGCTGATTAGATTTTTTCTTAGGTTAATCCTCACTGGAGGGTATTTTTCCTCTTGATTTTTAGAGAGAATAAAAGGGAGAGAAGGAGGGAGAGAGAGAAAAACATCAATGTGAGAGACACATAGATCCTTTGCTTCCTGCACTCACCCTGACAGGAGATGGGGATGGAACCTGCAACCCAGGTACATGCCCTTGACCGGGAATTGAACCTGTGACTCTGATGTGCAGGCCCAACTCCAACCCTGAGCACATGGGCCCAGGCAGCTGATTAGATGTAAGTAGCTCATTCTGGTATTAGGACTCTTCAGGCAGTGAGAGGCCAATTAAACAATCTCACTTTCTGCCTGTACGTGCTCTCTCTTCAGATTGGTCTTTGCCTGTTTCATGTCTGGAATTGGTGCCCGGTGGTGGCCATATTGATACGTGTGAGGAATTCATATGAACTGGGCACAAACACTTGTGGCATTTCCTCATCTAATAAATAGCTTCTGTGGGTCACCAAGGCCGGCCCTGCCACAGGCCCACAAGGAAGGGCGTGTTGGAGTGTGTACATGCCTTGCTGCTAAGTGCGTGCCCTCAGACTATCGCCAGTGTTTCTTTTTCTTCTGTCAACCGGACAGGTAGTGGCCAGGAAGGAGGATGTCTTTGAGGCCTGGAACACATGTCTACACCACATCGCCTGCCCGTCTCTGGTGCACGTCCACAGAGGTCAGCGGCCTGTTGCCTATGCATGATTGACGGTCTCAGAGTTAGGAGACTTTGGGAAAAGACAATCTCTGCACCAGTCTGAGCTCCTATTGAATGTGGGGTCCCCCAGTAACTCCCCCCCACACTGAACCCCAGGAGCAGTGCCCTGAACACCCATGGCTGCCAGCAGCCTGGCAGGAGTCAGCTGGCAGACGGCAGATCCTCAGCGGTGGCCCTCTGCCCAGCGGTGACGGCCATTCCCAAGTAAACCAAGGGGAGCTGCGTACAGATAAAGGGAGGGCCTCTTCCCGGGACCACTGCCTGGAGGATGTCGGATACCAGCGCCAACTCCTTAAGCCGCAGGCCTGGGTCAGCCTCTGAGAGCCGTGGCCTCACCCAGAGGCGGGTGCCTTCCAGGGGACCTGCAGGGTCGTTGGGGACACATTGGGTTGTCACGCTGAGCAGCGGTTGCTAGTCGGTAGGGGCAGGGGCGTCTACAGCACAAACAGCCCCACAACAAGCATGGTCCTGCCCCAAATGTCTGTCGTGCTGAGGGCGAGAAGCCCTGAATGTGTATTCTGACCTCAAAAGGGCAAAATCACATAAAATAAAAGGACACATTGAAAGCAAAGTAAGACCCATGAAGATATGCCCAATTAATTATTCCTGGAATTGTGGTTTAACTTCAAGGACCATTAGTTGATCCGCCGTCATGCCCGTCCCCGTGGGGAGCAGCAAAGAGGCCCTGTGTGGTTGCCGTGTGGGGCTCCCCATCAGCCAGCCTCACTGCTGACCCAGGACAGCAGGGACAGCGTGGTCACCACAGCTCCAGGGCCTGGCTCCAGTCCGCCTCCCTGGGCACTGTCTCGGGGGCGGAGTCCATCATGGTTTCTGTTAGGAGTCGGGCCAGTGACCTCCCAGCCAGCAGCTCCAGAAGGGAAAGTGCCATGTCCTTCATCGCAGTGGGACTGCCAGGACCCTCCTAGGAGCTGACCAGGCGACTGCAGTGAGCAGTGTGGGCACAGACAGTCCAGCCCAGGGATCTTGGTGAGCTCAGCCCACAGGGTCAGGGGGAAGGACTGGAGAGCAGTGTGCAGGTGACTGCCACGAGCACAGGGGCCTCACCGGATGGAGCCATCAGGCACACCACCCCCGGGACCCGCCTTTCTATAGGGACAAACCTGGTGCTGCCTCATAGCATCTCTGATTCTGATGGCCCTCCACCTCCTGCTCCCCGGGGCCAGGGGAGGGGCTGAGGGAGCAAGGGTCCTTCCCTACAGGTTATTCAGGAGCAGGATGAGGTGCCCTCATTTGCAGATCCAGAAATTTCAATTTGTCTTCAGCCCACAATAAATGAGGCATGGGGGAACTGACTCACCTTAATCAAGCTCAGATTCAGAAACCAGAAAGCCCGAGTTCTCAGCACAAATCAAAACCCAGCTGCCGAGTCATGTGTACCCGCTACAGCCTCTCAGGGAGTTCTCCTCTGACGGGCTCGGAGGTTGGACTGTCCGCACACTTCTCAGCGGGGGTCTGAGTGTCCACGCCAGCCTGGAGGCCTCATCCCGGAGCACACAGGGTGTCTGCTTCCTGGGCTGCCTCAGTACTCAGCACCAACCTCGCCCCTGGGCACCTGTAAGCCCCCTCTCCCGCTAGTGGGTCATGTTTTCGGATTGATGAGTCAGGCCGACACTGGGATATGAAGCAGCACTCCAGGCGACAGCCTCTCGTCCACTCCGTGGGGACTGTGGAGGCTCTACTCTCTGGCCATGGTCCCAGTGTCTGGGCTCCTCCCCCTGGGAACTGGCCATGGCTCTGACGCTTCCCAGGAGACACGGATGGGCCATGTGGACGCTGGGTGAAAAGCTCGCAGACATTCAGAGAGGGAACAAATCTGAAGAGGCCTCATAGAATCAGGAACTCGTGCCTTTGCCTTAGAAACACTGACCGTTGCTCCCTGCGCCCCACACCCCGTGGTTGAGAGCATAAGAAAGCTCGGTGTGCGGGTGGAGGATCATCCCCTGTCAGGCTGTCTGAATTCAGAGGCCTCCTCTATCCTAACCCCCACTCTGTGACTACAGGTCAGCTCATTAACCTCTCTGACCTTCAATATCCTTTATTTACAAAATACAGATGCTGTGAGATTCACTTTGTAGGCTCCTGAGGAGAGACTTGAAAGCACCTGCCCCATACTTGGTGTTCGATGAAAACGTTTTGTTACTGTCAACCACTACTCTCCAAAAGCCTTCGTACCCATAGCCAACCTGGAACCGCTAGATCCCTGCTCCTTAAGAGGAAGAAAAAGAGAAAAGGTAAATAGGTCAGGTTCCAGTGGGTGAAGCCTCAACCACAGGAAGAAGCACCGAGGATCTGATGTTGCCACAGCACAGAAGAAACCCAGACCTTTTATTGGTTAGTAACCAACAGTGTCTTCAGGAAATTGTCCTCAAGTTTAGTGCCAAATAAAGAGGCTCTGGCTGAATAAGGTAACGGGAGAAAAATAATAAGCATCAGTTCAATGGCAACATTGGCAGATCTTGAGAACATTCTAAAGAGAAATCCATCAATAATGAGGAGGCCTGTCAGGTGCAGAATGCATTCCCCAGGTAGGCGCACGGAGCACGCGGTCCCCGCGAAGAAGGGGGCAGCATGTCTTTGCATTTCAATAGCCCCGGACCCTTGGCAGAGGCCTGGGAGGTGTCGGGGGTGGGGAGGTGGGGGAGACAAGAAGAGGAGCCCCCATCCTCGGTGACCGCCTGATGTTGCCCCTGGAGAGGCTAGAAGGAGCACGCAGGAGGGAGGGCAGGAGGGAGGGAAGGCTCCGTCTGTGAATGCGCAGACCTTTACGTCACCCCAGATGAAAATGAGCTCGGGACCCAGCCGCTTTTATTAGGAACAAATGGGGAAAAGCCTTCTGCCATCAGTGTTCGTGTGTCACCTGAGGACTGGGAAAACCGTGTTTGAAATAAAAATGTTAAGCAGTCTCTAGTGGTTTCTGAAGTGGGATGTGACCATTACAATGATAAATTGTTATTTTCCTATGATCCACATTTTTATCTTGCCCTAGAAATAGCAGTTCTGAAGCGTGGAGCTGTCTGAACCCCTAAGGATGTACCAATTCCTCAGCTAAGCACTTTTATTAAATAAATTACATCTACCACCTCCAGCTCCGTGCCCAACTGTCTCTTGGTTTCTTTTTTTCCTTCTTGAAGCCGTGACTAGTGCTCATTATGCTGCAGGAAGTCCCTTTTTTGGTTCTTAGTAAAGAGACTAATAACTTTGAATGTTTGAGTTAAGAGCAAGTTGTAATTATAATTAGGATACATAAATCGTGTGGGTTTCTGCCTCTTGGAGGATTAATTTCAGACTCCTCTCAGGGATGTTTTATTTCCAAACAGGACTTTCTTTGTTAATAGAACTGTGATGACGGGTGTTATTAAAGCATCGTCTCTGTACTTGCTCCGTGAGGGTTTGTGCCAGTGTTCTTCAGGGATCAGCACCTTCCTCACCATGGTTAATGGGACCCTGTGTTCTTTATGCAAACCACACTCACCCTGCTATGGTTTCAGTTCCACATCCACCTTCTGGGAAATTATGGAAATGCTAGAGGCCTGGTGCACGAATTCATGCTCAGATGGGGTCCCGCGGCCTGGCTGATGATTGGGGCCAATGGGGACGAGCCGGCCAGGGACGGACCCCGGGAGGGCTCCAGGGCATGTCTAGCTCTTGCCCAGTCCCGATTGGCCAGACCCTAGCAGCAAGCTAACCTACCTGTGGGAGCATCTGCCCCTTGGTGGTCAGTGCATGTCATAGGGACTGGTCAAGTGGCCATTGAACTGTAAACTGATTGGTTGGACACTTAGCATATCACATCTTTATCATACAGGGTACTTACCATCACCTTGAATGTGCATTACATTCTTTGAGCTCAGAAAAATAGAATGCCGGCTTCCTCTAGAAGTTGCGTGTGAGTTTCAGTTCTTGTCCTCCATTTAGCGGCAGAAGCTTCCCTTCCAGCTAGAAGGGTGAACCTGATCTCAGGTGGACCCGAGGTCACAGGTCACACACCTTGCTCTTTGAATAACAGGTTCTGTGCTTTTCCTGCTAGAAGGGAGCTCTGGCAGGTGGGAGGGAGGGTGGGCGTTGGCTATGACGACCTATTGCCGTCCCTTCCCGTGGGCACCTCTGCAGGGGACAGTCCCAGCACCCGGAGTCGGTGGTCTAGGGCCCAAGGAGCTGTCCCTGTGGCTGACCTTTCTCTGTCTGGCTCCCCTGGAATCTGTGGTGGCAGAAACAGGCTAGGACGTCTGGGGGGGCCAAGAATCCTGCTGACCAGCTTCTTCGAGGCCCCCTACTGTGCCGGCAACAACATGCCCTTGACTGGAATCGAACCCGGGACCTTTCAGTCCAAAGGCCGACGTTCTATTCATTGAGCCAAACCTGTTTTGGCACCAAGGGACTCTTGTCTTTCTTTCTCTGAGACCTCTCAAAGCCCGAGGAGGGAACCGAGGCACAGGGGGTGGGGGGGGCGGTGGGGAGACACAGATGCTGGGACCCCATGCACTTAGTGTGGTGCTGGGCTCACCCAGGCCCGGTGGACCCCGGCTCTGTGCTCAGCAGGCTTTTCAGGCCCCGGGCGTGGAAGAGGCCCGTCCACCCACTCCCAGGCTTTCTTCCTGCAGATGCGCACAGAGGAGTGGGCATTCCAGCATCCTCAAACTTCCTGAGATTCTTTGGTATATATTTATTCAGCACACACCTGCCTGTGTTAAAGCTGGCCTGACTGCCTTTCAGGACTCTTACTGTGTTTGACTCGGAATAATGCCTCTTATTTTTTCTATCTCATGAGCTTTCGGTGAGGATTAAATGAAAAAAACAAAACAAAACACACAAACATGTGTGGGAGCCCTAGGGCCTTAGCATCATGGGAGAGCTAACACACGGCCTGGGCAAAATGTGATGGCGAGCACTGCCTGCTTCCCACAAAACCAGCGAGTAAAGGACACCAGCTCCCAGGGCTCACCTGAGGAAGCTGAGGCACAGAGAG